GTCAATTTTCCAAACACCATCGTCTTAGTTCGAGTCCTCGAGTCAATAAACGTGCTAATGTTCCTTTTGAATTAGTTCATTCTGATGTTTGGGGTCCTTCTCCTATTTTGTCTAAACCCGGATTCATGTATTTTGTTACTTTTGTGGATGATTACTCTCGTATAACTTGGTTATATTTAATGAAAAATTGTTCTGAGTTGTTTTCTATATTTTATGCTTTTTGTGCTGAGATTAAGAATCAATTTAATGTTTATATTCGTACTTTGCGAAGTGATAATGCCAAAGAATATACATCTGCTTTATTTCACTCTTATATGGTTTCTAATGGCATACTTCATGAAATTTCTTGTGTTGATACTGCATCCCAAAATGGTATAGCAGAACGTAAAAACAGACATCTTCTTGAAACTACACGAGCCCTCTTATTTCAAATACGTGTTCCTAAACATTTTTGGGCCGATGCCGTTTCTACAACATGTTTTTTTATCAATCGCATGCCATCTTTTTTTCTTAATGGTGAGATCCCTTACAAAATCCTTTTTCCCAGTAAGTCATTATTTCATGTTGATCCTAGGATATTTGGTAGTACTTATTTTGCTCGAGATGTTTGTCCACATGTCATCAAATTAGATCCCAAGTCATTGAAGTGTGTTTTCCTTGGTTATTCTCGTCTTCAAAAAGGGTATAGGTGTTATTATCCCAATCTTAACAAATATCTTGTCTTAGTTGATGTTACCTTCATAGAAAACACACCTTACTTCTCGTCTTCATCTATTCCTACTCGTCAGGGGGAGGATGATATTTATTGATATATTCTATCACATCTTCTGACCTTGACACACTTCCTGACGAGTCTCTTATTCCTCAACCTATCTTAGACACAACTCCCGATGAGTCTCTTATTACTCAGTCTGTCTCAGCCATAGCTCCCGACATGCCTTCTATTAAAGTGTACTCTAGGCGTCCACCTCCTGTTTTATGTCCTACACCTGCTTCTTCGTCATCAGATCCGGTCCCAAGCGATGATCTTCCTATTGCGTTACGTAAAGGTAAATGTCAGTGCACTTATCCTATTTCTTCTTTTGTTTCTTATAATCATTTGTCATCTTCCTCTTGCTCTTTTATTGCTTCCCTTGATTCTATCTCTATTCCTAAGACTGTTAGTGAAGCCATATCTCATCCTGGTTGGCATAACGCAATGATAGAAGAGATGCATGCTTTAGATGTCAATGGTACTTGGGACTTGGTTGATTTACCTTCAGGAAAACGGGCCATAGGGTGCAAATGGGTGTTTACTGTTAAGGTCAATCCAAATGGGTCAATTTCTCGATTAAAGGCATGTCTTGTTGCTAAGGGTTATGCTCAAACCTATGGAGTGGACTATTGTGATACTTTTTCTCCTGTTGCTAAGTTGACATCTGTTAGATTGTTTATTTAGATGGAAGCTACTCATCATTAACCTTTACATCAGCTAGATATCAAGAATGCTTTTCTTCATGGTGATCTTCAGGAAGAGGTATATATAGAGCAACCTGCTGGTTTTGTTGCTCAGGGGGAGTTATGGTGAGTCTGTCGTCTTCGAAAATCTTTATATAGGTTGAAACAAAGTCCTCGTGCTTGGTTTGGAAAATTTAGTTAGGCTGTTGAGAAATTTGGTATGTTGAGAAGCAATTCGGACCATTCTGTGTTCTATAAACGATCAACTGATGGTATCATTCGGTTAGTTATGTATGTGGATGACATTGTTATTACTGGAAATGATACTTGAGGAATCTCATCCCTTAAATCTTTCATTCATACTCAGTGTCACATGAGGGATTTGGGGGTGCTCAAGTATTTCTTGGGAGTTGAGGTCACTTGGAGTAAATAAGGTATTTTTCTATCTCAGAGAAAATATGTCCTTGACTTATTGACTGAGACAAGAAAATTAGGAGCAAAGCCTTGTAGTACTCCAATGTGTCCAAATTTGCATCTTACAAGAGATGGAGAACCATTTGAATACCCTGAAAAATATCACAGGTTGATTGGAAAGTTGAATTACCTTACCGTGACTCGTCCAGATATTGCATTCTCAGTTAGTATTGTCAGTTAGTTTATGTCATCCCTAACAATTCATCATTGGGCAGCGTTAGAGCAAATTTTGTGTTACTTAAAAGGAGCACCAGGACGAGGTATCGTGTACGCGGATCATGGGCACACTCATATTGAGTGTTTCTCAGATGCAGATTGGGCATGTTCTAAGGTGGATAGAAGATCGACTTCAGGTTATTGTGTTTTTGTTGGAGGGAATTTGGTCTCTTGAAAGAGTAAGAAGCAAAATGTTGTGTCACGATCCAGTGCAGAGTCAGAATATAGGGCATAACACAGTCTGTGTGTGAGAGAATGTGGATATATCAGCTATTGACTGAAGTAGGATTTAAAACTTCAATACCAGCAAAATTATGGCGTGATAACCAAGCTGATATTCATATTGCCTCTAATCCTGTGTTCCATGAGCGAACTAAGAACATCGAAATTGATTGTCATTTTGTTCGTGAGAAAATTCAACAAGGCTTGATCACCACAGGATATGTGAAGACGGGAGAACAACTAGGGGACATCTTCACAAAAGCTTTAAATGGTGTACGGGTTGATTATCTTTGTAACAAACTGGGCATGATTAACATTTATGCTCCAGCTTAAGGGGGAGTGTTATATATTAGTTGTCAATTAGCTAATATCGTTATCAATTAGCTATAATTGTCAATCAGTTGATAGTTGTCAATTAACTATAATTGTCAATTAGCTGATAGTTGTCAATTAGCTATAATTGTCAATTAGCTAAAAAGTAGGATTAATTGTAATTATTTTAGTTTCCTATTTTCTCCTAGTTTTCTACAATAACTTCTCTAGTTTGTATATAAATACATGTTATTTTCTCAATGAAATACAAGTGAATATATTTCTCTTAACCTCTTCTTACAGCTTCTAACACACCCAAGGAAAGGTTATTGTGACACGTCTGGAGAATAAACATTTTGTTTATTTCTATAAATTCAACAACCTCTTTGATATCTACAATTATTTTTAATTTTGTTTATTTCTATAAATTCTATAATTATTTTATATCATTTTAATTTTTATAATTGTAAATGACATAATTACAAATTATTAATAATATAAATTTTTATCAAAATTATGTTTTTTTTTGTTTTTTTCTTTAAAACTAAAAAACTTTAAAAAAGTAAAAAATTTAAAAATTGGGCCTGTCCGATGCCGGGCCCAAGGCAACCGGGGCTTGGGTCCGGGCTCCGGTTTTACCCGGCCAAGTCTGGGCCGGTCCGGATGGACACCCTTATTTTACCTTATGAAAAATATCAGCTTCGAGATGTGCAATCACTAAAATTAAAACACAATAAAGGCTACCTGCACATAGATCCCCGAGTATCATGTTACTCTTAAGTTTGAGGGTTACTATTTATTAAAAAACCATAAGACGCGGCTCATAAGGGCAAAAGTCAAAACAATTTCACTCATGATTTTTATCTGCTTTTATCAAACTTGACATGATACAGCAAGGGTCTACATGAAATTTACCGAAATTATTTATCCACATCTGCATATTTAAGCAATCATGAGACTTTTTGGGTAAACGGGTTAAAGCAAATGTTAAAGGCGCTTAATCCAGATTTCTATAGCCAAATAAACTAATGAAATTCTTTCTTTAAAAAATTCACCTTTGGAAAAACATATATGGTGTAAAAAATAAAGGTATACTGTATGAGATCATGAAAACAGAAGTAGAACAGAGAATAAATACATGGGAGAGAAATGGAGACGACGAAAACCAAGAACTCTCAGGTAAAAGTAACACAAGACTTTGCAACAGGATGCAGCAAGATCTGAAATTTTTCGCGTACAGAATAGCTGGGCTTTGGCCCACTGAGCCTCCGCGTAAAGTATGGGAATCTCCTATTAAAAGCTATAATCTCATTTTTACCTTTCCACCCCGATATAAATATTTTGTTTGGGAGAATAAGAAAAAAAAAGATAAATATCGAAAGGGCCCTCAGTAGAAAATCATACACAAATGGAGGATGAGTGTACCAATTTTAAACAATTGTAAATAGCATGTAAAATCTACGTAAACGGTGAAAAAAATAGACTACAAAAAGTTAAAAATCTGGATAAAAAATAAAGTCTAAGTATTAAAAACACCCTTAACTTGGACGATAATCGCACACCCCCATAGATGTAGGGATTATTAAGAAAACCGCCACGTTTTTAATGTTCAGATTTTATCAGAAAACCTCCTTTTTAAATTTGAGATTTTTTCAGAAGACCCCTCTAATTTTAGAGGGTTTTTTTTTTATAAAATCTCAACGTTAAAGGGTATTTTTCAATAACCTCTACACTTAGGAGGGTTTTTTTTATAAAATCTCAACGTTAAAGGGTATTTTTCAATAACCTCTACACTTAGGAGTGTTTTAACGCCTAGGGGGTTTTCTCATAGTTATGGGGGTTTATACAATAATCGTCCAAAGTTAAGTCGGGGTTTTTATGACAAATATGGGCATGGTTTTAAAGTTCATTCTTTTCAGAGGCCCTCCATGTGATTCTTTATTTCTCCTGCATTGTTTTAGGCCCTCTATAAAAGTTGCTGGCAAACATTTCATAACGCCCGGCCCATAATAAGAAGCGGGGCTGCGGAATCTGAAACCAATAAAAGAAACCGACGGAAGCATAAACAGCAAGATAGTCACGGTACCCTACTCAAAGACTAATATTAGAATAAAATTAATAAAATAATAAGAAGAAAAGTGGGGTACAGCTTCTAGTGATCTCAACGGACTGAACTACCAAGAAGAGAGGTTAATTAGATTGCTGATGTGCCAACATTATCATTTGCAGATTCACTTAGTGTGAATGCTCAAAAGAGGAAACATGCTTAATATCAAAGTAAAATACTCAACTTGTAACTTGATAATTGTAATCAGATAACTAACTAAAACTTCAATACATAAAAAAAATCATGAAATCTAACCCTACAGAGCCCAAGATGGCTCCTCTTCATAAACATTTACCAAAGGACAATTGAAGTCTGCATACACAAGGCCATAGTTTGTGCTGCTTCCAGTGCCAACATGAGCGTTCATGCGTTCAATATGTACTACAATCTCTACCAAACATGAGCTACAACTTGTCCAGGTTTAACGGCTGCATTTATACAATCCAAAACTTTTCCTGAGAGCTTGAATTATTACTACAGTAAATGGAACTTACACATGTTCCCATTATTTGTAAGTAAATGATACAAAATCATGCTCAATAAATAATTATAGTAACTCAACTCGGTACATTATACTTGTCAATTAAATAATTCTGTATCAACGAAATCTGATGCTAAGAAGGCACGATCCATACCGAATCCAGAATATTTTCGTCATTCATTTGCAGCCTTGAGCAGTTCTTCCCAGGATGTGATTTTGTCTCTTGGTCTATTTTGAAGCTGACCTTTCATCTTCTCTTTACAATCTATCTTTTCCCAACCACCAAAAGGCACGAATCTGAGATTTTTGTCTTTTAATAAATGGAGAAGCCCTTCCCTTCCAGGTTTAGATGATTGCACATATTCTCCCTTGTGTACATCTTCCAATATGCTCATGACCTGTCATTTTAGTACCAGCACCAGTCCAGGTGAATCGAAATGTAATGAAAGCAGTAGAGTACATTAAGGATTAACTGTGGACCCCTTGAATGGACCCCTTGAATGGATTTTTTTTCCCATTCTTCTACCCTTAGAAAAAGAGAATTATTTTTTAACAAATTGATGTCCTGAGGTAAAGGAGTCCAAAAGTTTCCACTCAGGTGGTCTACTTACAAAGTTACAATAGTACAAGGGGTTTATGCACAATTAGGCAACAGTACAGGGGGTCTACGAAATTCACCCTATATTATAAAGCAGACCGAGAAGGGAAAAGAAATGTATCAAAAGATACATAATTTGGTGAACAATACTCATGATTGTGTTAATAACATGAGATAATTTGAAAACGAGCATGAACTAGCAATATGACGATATAACAGAGTTGTTAAAATGCATGCATTGCGAGAAATATGAATATAATTCACAAATGCCATTCGAGTAACTTTTAAATTCCTTGTAGAGAAAAATTGATTTGTGGAAATTAATATTAAGAAGCCTTTAATAGAAGATGAAGTTGACACAAGCAGGAGTATTTTTGATGTTCTGGAATATTGTATATAATATTTGATGCTTTCATATGCTTGAATTGCACTTATGGTTCCGCCATGCAGTAGAGAATTGTACTATGGTGGTATAGCCATATGCCTCCTAAACTATTTTAGTAGCCTTACACCTCTACACCACATACAAAGCTACGTTGTCCCCAGATCTAGAGAGCAATTCAGTCTCTTCTTGGTTAAACTGAGGGTAAAAGACAATTTATTGTGATTCCCATGCGACAAATCAACCAAACATGAGAAATAATGTGTTGAAAGTAGTGGCATTTAAGTGATAATAAAATAGTTTAGGGGGCACAAGTAGCTACACTTTCACACAACAGAGAACATATCTGCTATTAACCGTTAAATAGATAAACAATGTCCAGAATTTGATGAGCAAGAAACATAATTGTGTTAATACATCAAAAAATATGAACATAAAAATGAACTGGCAAGTATGATAACAGCGTTGATAACATGCATTTGTCACGAGAAACATGAAAACAATACATAAAATATTCCTTAATAAACTGGACACTGACTTTATCCATGATAACCAAATGTCATTCAACTCTCTTGAATTGCTTGTAGAAAATTCCCATTGGTGGAGATTAATATTAAGAATTGTTATGTCATTCAACTCTCTTGAATTGCTTGTAGAAAATTCCCATTGGTGGAGATTAATATTAAGAATTGTTAGATATAAGATCAAATTTCACATAACCAAGGGTATTTATTATTTACTGGAATGTCTTTATGATGTTTGGTGCTTTCATATGCTTGTGTTGCACTTACTGTTTCCGCGGCACAATAGAGATTTGTACCGATGATCCCAGTGGGGCCCCTTTTTAGCCATCCTACAACATAAAGACCATGCTCCACTTTCTCATGCTCTGTCTGATTGCTGCTAACAACTCTGCCCTTCACATTAGGAACAATACCTGCAATTTACATTATATGTTAACTTTATAATGGTAAATAGTATGCTTCAAGAGTTCTTTTCTAGATAGCAATGTGAGAAGAACAATGACAAGACAACCAAATAACAGTACTGGATTATAATCCTATTACTTGGTCAATAAATTTCTAAATGCTAATTTTGACATCTTTTTTTGCAGTGAAAGTTCGGTTATATGGATGTGATCAATTCTGAAATCCTAAGCATGAAAGGGAAGCCAACCAAAATAGGACATTTGTAGTCATCTTTCTACAGGTAAAGTTTGCTAATTCAATATAATTTATTCTTTTATAAAAAAAAAAGAGGCTGTGCTGTCAAGGATTATAGTGGACGAAATTCATAACGAGACAGAGCACAAAAGAAAAGATGTTAAACCAACCAAAACAGAAAGTTAATCATCATTTGTTAATAGTTAGAAAGTTAATGTTGAGATACTATATTCTTGTCCTTTTCCCCACATTTAAATATTTGTGCTGACTGCAGTCGATATGAGCCAATAACCGTGGTGGAATAATTAAGAGCGTAAATAGCAGAAGCTTTCAGGTAAGTACTGTTCTGACCTCTTTGACTGTCAAATGGCAGGCCATTGACTGGTAATGATTTGTAACATGCTTTTCAAAACAAGCCTAAACACAGTAATCATCATTTGTTACTAGTTAGAAAGTTGATGTTGAGATACTATATTCTTGTCCTTTTTCCCACATTTAAATATTTGTGCTGACTGCAGTCGATATGAGCCAATAACCGTGGTGGAATAATTAAGAGCGTAAATAGCAGAAGCTTTCAGGTAAGTACTGTTCTGACCTCTTTGACTGTCAAATGGCAGGCCATTGACTGGCAATGATTTGTAACCAATGCTTTTCAAAACAAGCCTAAACACAGAAATCATGAATTAACAAACATAGAAGTATCAGAAAATATTCGGCAAGAGAAGGGGAGAAATGCTCAAGTTCCAAGATATGATAAGCTTGAGCCATTGCCCAGTAAACAAAAGAAGAAAATGAAGTTCATACCCACAATTAAGATTCTCAAATTCCCCAGTTCCGACTGCCACCTGTCTGCCAGAACCGCCATTTTCTACAATATCGGTAACAAAATATGTATTTGATAAAACAGAGTAATGTTAAATTAATTTTCAGGAAAAAACTAAAGAAAACCATGAAATTTTACACAGAGGCCGTGCCGTTCATGTTTCAAAGACATACTGGCCCAGTAAAACAATATTATCTTATACCTGAGGTCACACTGTGCATAAAGAGATGATGTGTTTCTAAAATCAACTAATAATTCATTAGGAAAACCAACCTTTCAAACATGTTTTCTCAAGGCGCACGCCGCTAACATTACAGCCATCTGAAGACAAAAATCTTTCTGGCTTTCTGAAGAAAACAAAATGAAGTTCCCGTTGGTCAACTGCTGGATGAGGAGCAGAAGTAGCTGCTTTAGCAAACAATTCATATACACGCCTTTGAATTCTAGTGTTTTTCAGTCCTTCCTGCAGTTAGAATATAACAAAAATGAACAGTTAATTTGATCACACAATATTAAAAATAAGTGCACCAAAAGACGGTCATGAAAAACCTGATAAGCTAAGTGGAAGTATAGACAGTTCAAACACATTAGTAAAAGTAAGCCTGCTGCCGATATATCAGTCCATAATAACGATAAAAGATGATATAAATTATTGATGTTTGAATGGAAATCAGAAAACAAATCTCACAATGCACAAAGACATGCTGAAACTACAATTTCACTTGGTAGTTGAGCATATACCTCGTCTGCAGGAGATTTCACTAGATCAGCTTCCTGAATGTGAACATTTACATTCTTAATACCTGCAAGGGGAAAAAATCCTTTGTATGAGCATATATATTAATAGAACATCCATCGCAAACAAAAATTATTCCAATTTATTCACTGATAAAAGAAACCTATTTACAGACCAACTCAAATTGTAAGTGTCAGCCGCCCACCATTTTTGTCAGCCGCCACCTTCTTTGACAAAGAAAGAAATCGGTGCCGCAATTTTTGAGAAATTAAAAAGGTGGCATATCCCACCAATAAAATATTATTAGTGGTGGGTCCCATTAATAATATTTTATTAGTGCATAGTATTTCCCAAACACTATAAATATGGCCAAAACTTTTTAGAAAAAATCATCTCAGAAACAACTCCTCTTATAGAAGAGTAAGAGAGAACATAGAGAGAGTTTGTAAGAATTCTTGGAGTGTATCTTGATCAAGAGAGGGTGTTCTCTTTAATCTAATTCTTTTAAAATATAAAAGAACTAGGCGTCGTCGTTACACCGTGGAGTAGTTCCGAATGAGTGAACCATATATATCTGTAAGTACTGTGATTGATTTTGTGTCTTTATTCTGTGTATTATGTCTCCGTTCGAGGTGTTCTTGTTGGTGTGTATCCCTAACAATTGGTATTAGAGCCTGACTTAAGAGTATATATATCTGTTTATCGTATGCTCTGTGACTACTACTAAAAGTGAATCCTCCGCATCAGAAAATAAGTTAGATTATCATTTACTCTTTAAAGGTACTAGGCACTATTCACAAGTATGGTACTATTTATAAGTATTGATACTATTTACAAATACAGTTCGGGTAAGACTAATCTTTCGCCATGAGATCTACAGTTGAACACAACAGGCTTCGAATTGAGAAGTCCGACGATCAAAATTTCAGGTATTGGAGGATGCAAATAGAAAATTATTTGTACCAGAAGGTTCTCTTCCTACCCCTCCAAGGAGAGGCGGGAAAACCTGAGAAGATGGACGACGATAAGTGGAAGATGTTCGATAGTAGAGCACTTGCCACCACCAGGCTTAACTTTCACCAACATGTGACTTACAACATCTCACATGGGACCACCACCAAGGATTTGATGGAGGCATTGGAGGCGTTATATGAGAAGCTATCTGCTTCAAATAAGGTGTACTTGATGAAGAAGTTGTTCAATCTAAAGATGCAACAATGAGCTTGTATGACGGACTTTTTGAACAAATTTCAAGTTATTGTGCAACAACTTGTTGCAGTAGATCTCAAGTTCGACAATGAGATCCAAGCTCTTCTGTTATTTCTTGTCTACCAGATTCATGGGAGAATATGATGATGGCGATGAGCAACGCCAATGGTAATGACAAGATAAAGCTTGACACAGTGATTGGGGTAATTCTGGATGAAGAATCTCACCACAAAGTTTCAGGAGCTGAGGCCTCTAGCAGTACGAGTGCTCTGCATGTTAAGGCACAAGGGCATGCGCAGAAGAAGGGTAGGGGACAACGATGTCAATCAAAGTCCAAAGGGAAGTCTAAAGGGCCGGATCCGAATGGTTACAGTAAAGGAAAGTGCTTCAGATGTAGAAAAAATGGTCACTTTGCACGAGACTGCAGAGCTTCTGTTCGGGCATCAGCAGGGAATGATCAGGCTGACGGTGCAGTCAATCTCATGCACGTAACAAATTCAGATGCGCTTATTCTATCCCTAGAAGACAAAAGTGATGCGTGGGTCATTGACTCCGGCGTATCTTTCCATGCAACCTTACAACAAAAGTTGCTTTCATCGCTCGTGAAGGACTTAGGAACAGTCTATCTGTACGTGGACTTAGGAACAGTCTATCCTGACGACGATCAACCTTACAAAGTTTCGGGGAAGAGAAATTGTACCCTCAAGATGGAGGGCAGGACCACATTGATGTTGAACAACGTTTGGCATGTATCGGATCTCAGAAGGAATCTTATATCAATCGGACAACTGACTGACTCCGGTTACAAAGTATCCTTCGAGCAGGAAAGCCGGAAGGTGTCCAAGGGTACCCTGGTGGTGGCACACGACAAACGCGAGGGGTCTCTTTACACTTGCTTGTCGCAAAACAAGCATCATCATCATCATCTATCGACTGCATGACTTGACATCGACGACTTGGCCACATGAGGGAGAAGGGGATGCAGATTATGGTTGCGGGAGAGAGGCTTCTGGGTCTGAACAAGATTGATCTGACTTTCTGTGAGGATTGCATCCTAGGCAAACAGAAGAATGTGAGCTTCAACAAGACAGGACAGGTTCCAAAACTATAAAAATTGGAGTTGGTGCACACCGACGTGTGGACCAACACAAGTCCTATCTGAAGTGCCTAAAGTCTAATAATAGAGGTGAGTATTGCATCTAGGAGTTCGAGAACTTCTGCTCGTCCCATGGGATTAGGAGACTGAAGACCGTCCCAAGCACACCTCAGCACAACGGAGTGGTGGAGCGTATGAATCGCACTATTTTGGCGCGCCAGAAGTATATGAGGATCCACTCCAAATTGCCCAAGAATTTTTAGGTCGAAGCTGTCAATACTACTGCTTAATCAACCGCGAACCTCAGTTATGGGATACCTGAACAGGCTTGGATCGAAAAGAAGCTAAACCTAAATCACTTACGAGTATTTGGTTGTGACGCCTATGCCATGACCAATCCTACTGACTGGTCAAAGCTTGATCCAAAGTCAAAGCTCTCTTTTATCGGCTATGAAGGAGATGAGTATGGGTATCGTTTCTGGGATCACGATGCATACAAGGTGGTGCGTAGTCGTGACGTCGTGTTCCATGAGAATACGGTATACAAGACCAAAAAGATGAGTGAGTCAGCTATCACTCCTTTTCCCAAATATTATTGATAGTGAGGACAGCGGTGAGATACCAGTCAGTATAAAAGATGAAGACCAAGAGAACGTGTCGGATGCACAGTAGCAGAATCAAGCAGAGCTGTCGATCGTAATTCGCAAAGCTTTAAGAAATCCAAGGGTGCTAGAGAGGTATCTTTCCATCATGAATTATCTTCCAATGACTAATAATGGTGAGCCAAAGAGCTATGAGGAGGTACAGCAGACTGGCAAAGTTCGGGGCGAGTGGGAGTCTGCCATAAAGGAAGAAATGAAATCATTAACGAAGAATGGGACTTGGGAGCGCATAAAGCTTCCGAGAGGGCGAAAGGCTCTTCACAATCGATGGATTTATCGGGTCAATGATGAAGTCGATGGTTAGAGACGCTACAAGGCGAGGCTTGTAGTGAAGGGCTATGAACAGAAAGCAGGGATAGATTATTCTGATATTTTTACCCCCGTCATCAAGTTGACCACAATCCGGACTGTGTTGAGCATTGTAGCAGTTCGAGATCTCCACCTAGAACAGATGGATGTGAAGACGATATTCCTTCATGGAGATTTGGAGGAAAAAATCTATATGCATCAACTAATGGGCTTCGAGTAATGAAGCAGGGAGGACCTTGTGTGTCGCCTGTGCAAGAGCTTGTATGGCCTAAAACAAGCTCCGGGATAGTGGTACATGAACTTCGAGAACTTTATGGAGAACGGTTTTCTCAAATACAGCACGGACCACTGTTGCTTCATCAAAAAATATGGTGAATCCTATGTAATACTCTTGATTTATATTGATGACATGTTGATTGCTGGGCCCGACTTGACCCGCATTAAAGAACTCAAGAGGCATCTCTCTGAATGCTTCGAGATGAAGGATCTGGGTCCAGCAAACCAAATTCTTAGGATGAAGATCATCAGAGAAAGATCAGCACAGAAGTTGAGGTTGTCTCAGAAGGCCTACATTGAGAAGATTTTTAAAAAGTTTAGCATGGAAAAAGCTAAAACAGTGGGCTCGCTGTTTTCGAGCCATTTCAAGCTATCAAAGACCCAAGCACCAGAGACTGCTGAAGAGCATGAGTTCATGGCCAACATATCATACGCATCTGTCATCAGGAGTTTAATGTATGTGATGGTGTGTACGAGACCAATTATTGCACAGAGTGGAGTTGTGAGCCGCTTCATGAGCAATCCAGGAAAGCAACACTGGGGTGCGATCAAGTGGCTTCTACCCTACTTGAAATGTTCGTCCGATCGTTATCTTGAGTATGGCGAGGTAGAATTGCAACTAGAGGGCTTTTGTGATGTAGACTACACCAGGGACATAGACTCAAGGAGCACGAGCGGGTATATCTTCATCTTGGGTGGTGAAACAATAAGTTGGAGATCCAAGTTACAGGATACAGTGGCTTTGTCGATAACCGAAGCGAAGTACGTGTCTGCAACAGAGGCAACAAAAGAGTGTCTTTCACTTAGCAGAGAACGACGCATTCCATGCTCGAACTAAACATGTTGACGTTAAGCATCATGTCGTACGAAGATGGCAAAGCAGAAACGAATTTAAGCTTGTGAAGATTGATATGAGATACAATCCAGCCGATATGCTGACCAAATCAGTTCCGCTCGAGAAGGTGAGGCTGTGTGCAGCCTCATATGGCCTCGGTTAAGAATGTTGAGAGTCGTGCAAGACACCAAAGATACAAAACATCCGGATAATGCAACCAAGAATGGTGTAAAAATATGATTGATACTCAATCAAATCTTCAAGTGGGAAATTGTCAGCCGCCCATCTTTTTTGTCAGCCGCCCACCTTCTTTGACATAGAAAAAAATCGGTGCCCATCTTTTTTGTCAGCCGCCCACCTTCTTTGACATAGAAAAAAATCGGTGCCGTAATTTTTGAGAAATTAAAAAGGTGACGGGTTACACCAATAAAATATTATTAGTGACGGGTCACACCAATAATATTTATTAGTGTAGTGTTTCCCAAACATTATAAATAGGGCCAAAACTCTTCAGGAAAAATCATCTCAGAAATAACTCTTATAGAAGAGTAAGAGAAATAACATAGAGAGTTTATGAGAGTTCTTCGAGTATCTTGATCAAGAGAGGGTGTTCTCTTTTATCTTCTTTTGAAATATAAAAGAACTGTGTTGCGTCATCGTTGCACCGTAGAGTAGCTCCGAAAGAGTGAACCACGTATATCTGTGGGTATTATAATTAATTTTGTGCCTTTATTCTGTGTATTATGTATCCATTTGAGGCGTTCTTGTTGGTGTTTCCCTAACAATAAGAACCAGCAAAATTTTCATTTAGGTAATCAAATGAACTATACCAAACAAGCTATACCAAGAATTTCACGGAGTTCCTTTGTTGTGCAAGCTGCCTGAGCAGGGCCCCGTCTTCCAACCAAGTACACTTTCCTATGACAATGAAAAAACAAACAAATACCCAAATTAAAGCACTTGTCAAGCTAAATTAGAGCATGTTTACAAATGTTCAAAGTGGCTTATAAGCCACTTTTGGCGCTTATTAACCACCTTGAAATGTTTGGCAAGTAGCTTATTATTTCTTATAATCCACCAAAAGATATGGATTATAAGTCATCAGGTTTGATCAAGTAAAAGACAGTTATACCAATTATGATTTAAATCCAAGGCCTCATTTATTAACTCACCAACAACCCACATCCTTTTTGGATATTTTGATAAAAGTGACGGATTATAATCCGCTCATTTGCCAAACACTCTACAATTGGAAATAAATTTTTCAAAACTTACCAAACACTTTAGATTATAATCCACTTGGATTATAACACATTTGTATTATAATCCAAGTGGAATATAATCCAAAGTTCGCAAACATGTTCTTAGCTATCAACCCGAATAATACATGGGTGTATGGTTGAAACTTGAAATGAATTAATAACAACAAACCTTATACTGCTTTTTTGGAGGGCAGCTAAGGCATGAGAGGAAATATCTGTGGCTGACAATTCTATTGTAGGTCTCAAAAGAATACGAGCAACATGCTAAGGCATGAGAGGAAATATCTGTGGCTGACAATTCTATTGTAGGTCTCAAAAGAATACGAGCAACATCAAGAGCAACATTGCCCTGAAAATAAGATGGACAATTCTATTGTAGGTCTCAAAAGAATACGAGCAACATCAAGAGCAACATTGCCCTGAAAATAAGATGACATCAAGAGCAACATTGCCCTGAAAATAAGATGCTTTTGATATTATGGTCTATTTGGAGCAATCTTAAAGGCAAGAGGAACAAAAATGGACCAAGACTACACTTGTCACCAGTATTTCTAATGTAATATACACACACATACCAGATCAAGGTGCTTGTATGTTTAATCATCAGGAAATGGTATTATTCTAGAGAAACAACAAACCAGGTTCAAGTATATGACAAAATGAGATAATGCCTCTATAAGGTTTGAATGGTGATGCTAATGCTGCCCCCATAAACCAGATGTTAAAGACAAAATAATTCAAGTACTTCCACCTAAAGGATCATTGATCGACATTTGCCAAGCGATACACTTTCTCAGGACATTAGCTTCAGGATCAAAACATGTTACCAGAGAAACATAAAGTTCACTGCTTAGGAACCTAAGCTGATCAAGGCAAAAAAGATCAACGTTGGTGAAAAAAGGACAACTGGGACCAAGTGACTGACTAACTCCTCATAATGGATACTAGAAAATAACCATATCAGATTGATTTCCTATAAAATTCGCATTAGTTGTGGAATTTTGCACAGGGAGGAAAACAACTAATACAAAGTACTAATTCTAGATCAGAAAAGATATTTGCAGCGTGAGGAACACCCTTACCAAGCTTGAAATGGTAAATGCTTAACCTTCAATATACCAAAAGTGCTATGGAAATAAAAAACAATAAAGTACAATAAAATAAACTCAATATTTAATTAGGCTAATCCTAGCAAAACTACAGGTGATGGGTTAATCAACAAATTACATCATGACTTATGACCATCATGTTTTATTTAACCCTGTGATGAAACATTTTCCAGTGAAAACATACTCCAGAACAGGCCTAATTAGCATCCTCCTCAAGGCATCATCATTTACTACTTGCAAACAAGCAAGTCATCATGTTTGTGTATGAAGAATGTAAACCTATTTATGAGATCAGTTAAATACAGATAGCAACAAATATCTCCGTGTGTCGCTTGCTTAAGAACTTGTGGCTGCCCCTGCGTTTAATAGTTAATTTAAGAATAAAAAATTGGCTTTGTATGTATTTCTGCAATACGAGTAGAATAATAGATGGAAAAGATCTTCTCACAGAGGTTCCAGAGCTACCTGACCAAATATAACAGCCGTATCTGTGTGTTTTAAGTCTGGCTCCAAATTGTAGCAATCAGGGTGCCCGTTATACCACCACACAAATTCTCTTGCTGAATATATTCCACGCAAATCCTGATTAAGAGGAAGCAAGTAAAAGAGGCAAACAAGATGCTTTTACTCACGAGATACAAGGATGAAACATTAAAATAAAACACATTCTTCAAAACTACCTTGAGATGTAAAACAACTTGAAACAATATTAATATCTTTTAGATCAATTCATTTTGTTGGAAGAACGGATAGGAGTGATGGAAATTAACTTGCGCTTTTTGTTCTACTAATTAGGATGCACGTATATTGCACGTGATAAAATACTTTGATTGTTTATGTATAGTTTATGGTTTTATTATAATAGGCTATCCATCCTCATAAAAATTGGAATCTATATAGGTAAATTTCACTAAACAACTAGTAAGTGTGGGTGTTTGACACTAAACGCCAAATATCATTGAAACTCTTACTAATATCCAACAGGTGTATCACATTATGTATATCAAACATGTATGAGGCCCTTCAGTTTCAAGGTACAAAAGAAATTAAGCTAGACCAATTTACTTATCTAAAATTTAAAATTTACAAATAAACGCTAAAAATTTAAAGATTTACAAATATCACAAAATCAAGGAATTAAAAATACACCTAAAAATTTGCAAAAACTTATAGGAGTTTTTTGCAATTTTCCAATTTTCTAGGGCACTTTTTGGAAATTTCAAATTCGTAGATTATCAAATGAATACTTTGTAACTTTGATTTATTTCAATTTTTTTGTAAATAAATGTTAAATTTTAGAGGATGTTTTCCATAATTATCAAACCCTCATCCTTTATCACGACGTTTGTAATTTAAAAAAATTTCAATTTTCAATGTATATACTCTGTATTTCACAATTTTCTAGGTTTGTTGGGTACTCTTTGCAATTTTCTAAGGGAGTATTTTGGAATTTTCTAGGTTTGTAGGGTACTCTTAGCAAATTTCAAATTTGTAGATTTTCAATGTATATACTCTGTATCTTTGATTTTTATTGTGTTTTTGTAATTTTTTAATTTTTTGGGTGTTTTTATAATTATCAAATCCATATCTTTTATCATGATTTTGTAGTTAAAAAATATTCAGGTGGGATAACAACTTCTTATCTCTTTGCTAATTACTATAGATAATTAAATTTAAAGATAAAAACTAACTCCTAATTATCAATTCCTTATCTCCTAATTTAAAGATACTAGGATAGGATAATAATTTTTTTCTCTTTACTAACTATTATAGATAATTAAATTTAAAGATATCAAATTATGAATTAACTATCTTTTATCAATTAAATATTTTCACACGAAACACATACATATGATATATATTTCAATATGTTTACCATAAATTTTCATTTAATTAATTATTTATATTAAATTAGAATAGGATAACAATTTAATTTGTAAAAGGATCTAGGGTATTTTTCATCCATGGAAAGTTTTATCTAAACTCACATTTTTATAAGGAGTATGATATTGTAAGATTTGAATTGGGATAGGATAATAACTTTTCATGTATTTACTAATTACCTTAGATAGTTAAATCTAAAGATAAAAACAAACTTCTAAATTATGAATTTCTAATCATTTATCAATAAAATATTTTCATATGCAATGAAACACATACATATGATATATATTTAAATATTCTTACCATAATTTCTCATTTAGTTAATGACAATACTAATTAGAATATGTTACAATGTAATATGTAAAAGGATCAAGTTTATTTTTGTCCATGAAAAGTTTTTCCCAAACTCACGCTTTTATAAGTAAAAAAATATGATATGATATGATATGATTTCTACAAAGGTGTCTGGTTAGATAGAAGTGAAACTTTCCATTTGCCAATTGATCACACCATCCTAGTCAATAGAAGAATGGGAAACTCGTTTACTTCTACATAAGGTACATAATAGGAAAGTGATAGGGAGAGAGGACATTAAGATGATTGGTTTAATCTATTTGAAGTAACTTTTATTGTCTCTCTTCGTATAATTATTCTACTGCTTACGATTATTTTAGTCTCAGTTCATTTCATCTATGGAAATTCATCCCAAACTTTCATAGTTTCTTTTACTCAAATGAAACACCAAAAGTTGCTAAATGTGCTCCACTTTTACACACGACAGCTGAGGTTGTGATAGTATGAAAGAATTCCCTCCTCGATTCAACTAAACAACCCCACCCCACCCCACCCCACCCCACCCTAAAAAAAGGAAATGCCACTTAGGGCAACTTAGCTTAGAAGCTAAGAGGTAAAAAAACAAATAGAAGGTGGTAAACTGAAAAAGAAAACATATATGTCTTATTCTGGGGAAAAAACTCATGTTTGCCATGACATCGGCAATCAATTTTTCACGTCTCTTCACTTTCCAATTATCAAATACCAAAAAACTCATTTCAGCAAAAACAAATTCACTACTAGAAATAATGGAAATAAGATTATCTATAACTAGAAAAAAACATACTTCTCCAAGGACGCCAAGAGACCTATCGCTCTCAGCACCATAAGCAAGTACCACCTATTTGAGTGCATAATCAGTCAAAAAACCAAAATTTTAGGAGAAAGCTATACAAAAATAAAGCTAAGAATATGACATGTCTCATTAAACTTAAAGCTTCATCGCATCTTTGATGGGTGTACTTACTATATCATATATTTGCCGCAGCTCTGGAAGAGAGACAGAATTCCCAAGAGACACATTTCCATAGAACGAACACCTCTCATTTGTAGCAACACGGGTGAATTGGTTGACTACAATCTGTTGCCAAATTTCTGGTAAATTATGTTTAAGTAAAAAGCAGCAAGCTACAAAATAACAATAAAGAAATGGTACTATGAGATGAGCGTTAGATCCAAGAAAACCAGCATTTTCTCGCTACAAAATAACAATAAAGAAATGGTACTATGAGATGAGCGTTAGATCCAAGAAAACCAGCATTTTCTCCCCCATTTGACTGGTACTATGAGATGAGCGTTAGATCCAAGAAAACCAGCATTTTCTCCCCCATTTGACCTTCTAAAGATACTATTTGACTGTGACTACTTTTATGTTTCATCTTCCAAAAGAGCCAATTAATATCCTTTTTACATCCCTATTGTTTATAAACTTTATTCTCTCACTTAATACACCCCCCACCCCACCCCCGATATTTGAGACTGACACTACACCAAGTTCAGATATCAAAGGCTTTAAACCTCTAACATTATAGTGAGAATAGATGAGAAACAATCAAAAATATATAGCTATAGTAACCTCTTTTGAGAAACATTGGTGAATCAGCGAACTTTGCTTGAAAATTGCACAGCAAAATACTTTAATAACACACACTACATTCTAATTCAGACCCAAAAAAGAAATCCCACAACCATCCGATAATAAAAACACCTGAAGAAATCTATGCAACTCAAACGACTTCTATTATATTATATGATTCTGTGATGTATATGCACATGCTATAAGGTATGATCAATCATAACCCCGTGCTATGAGTTTTTTTAATGGATCATACATCTCAAAAATGTGTTTATTGAACATATTTAAGTTTAGGATCCATGTGTTCGCTTGTTAGAAGTAATTTTGGTCCGATACCTCGCGCCTAAATTATTTGTGTTGGTTTTCAGCATGACATATGCAGTCATCCTTTACTGCCTAAAAAACATTGGATATAAAATACTTCACATTTTCACAAGCCACACAAAATACTTCACTAATCTAACATAACGTTTGTGAAATCTCCTAAAAATTAACTAATCACCTTTGTCTCAGGATGATCCGGCGCAACCCCAGATCGAACCAACCCAAATGGCGTTGGCAACCGATCAAGAATGTCGATTTCTACTTTATCATCAGCCTTCAACATCTGCGGAGATAAAATGAAAACAATTAGCTTATTGCTGATAGTTTAATTGACACCTATCAAAAAATACTTGCAAATTAAAGAAAATTAAACAGAAAAAAAACCTTTTCAGCAGTGTAGAATCCAGCGGGGCCGCTTCCAATGATGCAAACGTGAAGCAGACGCAGAGATTGTAGAGAAGAGAGATCTTTTGTTGAGGATAGTAAATTTCGAGCGTGATGGAATAGTAATCGGCGCATTTATCTTCTTATTTTCGTTCAATTGATCGAATGAAAGAGAATCTGGAGGGAAATACCCTTTTTTATCAACAAGCAAGGATAAATTTAAGGGTTTCAGATATTGAGAAGAGTGAGCAAGGAACAACAAACTGAGGAAAATGTAGGTTTTGCAAAACAGAAGGGATTTTTTAACAGATAGACCCCTCATATATATTTTATAATTTAAACCATAAAGTTTGATATTGACAATTTGGCTATTGAATTGTATCTTGAAGCATCGTCGTGTAATAGGAATTTTGAAAAAATCAAATTGAAAATGTTATTTGTATGAACAAAAAAATCAAACAAGATTTTGGTTCGGATGCAAATTTTCAATTGAAATCACAACAGGACCGTCTCAAGCATTTTTTAGCCTCTAGGTAGAGAAAAATATTTGGGCCTTAATATTTTAAAAAAATTAAATATTAGCTTTTAAAAAATAGATATTATATAAAATTTAATTTTCTGCCTTTTATATGAAATTTACAACAAAAGCAAAATATTTTTTCTAATTCTTTTGAATATACTAGTCATCTCCTATCATGTTTTTCTCCATTTGGTAATTTTCGAATGTAATGAACAGTAGAAAAGTGTCTAGAATTTTCATCATTTGGAAAACATAAATTGGTTTCACTACTTGGACCTTTTTCAACTAATAAATCTATTAAATTTGAATTTATGTTTTCTCATTGTGCTAGATCATATATATTTTTAACAATAGTTTCATCAATATAATTAAAAAATTATCTTCTTGATCAACTAACTCATCTTCTTATAAATTATTATTATCTTCTTCGCTAATATTAATATTTGGTGAATTAGATTTATGATTATTAGAAAGTTCTTGACAGATTTCTTTTTGTCCTAATAAAGTATCATCTTCTGGTGAAAATTCAATTGTTTTTTCATTTAAATTTTCAATTGGTTTTTCTAAGTTTTGATTTTAGTATTAGTAACAAGCCTATCAAGTGCTCCTTTTTTAGATTGAATAAATTCTTCTGTTTTTCTTTTTTTCATACGTTTTGCATATTCAGACTCATATTTTCTAGCAGACATTTATATTCAAATTATAGAAAATATAGATCCCTAAAATGCTTAAATTTAAAGAAATAATAAAACCTGGTTTATGCCTTGCACTTTTCAATTTGATGATACTTTAAAGACAGACATTGTTACCTGCATGAATATGATAAAAGAACAAATAAATATTAATTTTAATTTAAATTAATTAGAATGAGCATCTAGGAGAATAATTGGCCCAAATTAAAAACACCATGTAAGGATTAAAATCTCACTGTTACCTGCATGAATATGATAAAAGAACAAACAAATATTAATTTTTATTTAGATTAATTAGAATGATCATCTAGGAGAATAATTGCCCCAAATTAAAAACACCATGTAAGGATTAAAATCTAATCAATTTAGTTGAATAAAAGATATAAAAGAAAAAAATAAAAACACAAAATACAGAACAAAAGCATGAGATATATATACACACAAATAATTCTTCGTCGTTCGTCTTCGTCGTCGATCAATTGAACACGAACGGCGAACGGCTGGACGAACGCCATTTGGAAAGGAGCAGTTTCACCTCATACACCAGTTGGAGGAAAGGAGCAGTTTCTCCATAAGGTCAATTCAAAACCCCACTTTATTTTATTGTCAATATGTTATATCATGTGTATAAGATTTTTGATTAAGTTTTTTTAATTTAATTGAATAGAAATCATGTGGGGATTGTCATGAAGCAATGAATTTAATTTCTAAGGTTTATGGGAGGGAAATTGTCGTCAGAGATGATGTTCTTGTTGTGTCATGGGCAGTAAGGATCATTTTCGCGAAGGGGTTTGCTCTTGTAATGGTTTTTGGTGATTAGTTATTAAGGATGATTTTCTTGTTGTGTCATGGTTGTCTAGTGAAATGTTTAGTAATTCTAATTATATGTGAATTAAGGAGAAGCCTACAATCACATACATTTACTTATTTGGTTGTAATTCTAATTATATGTGAATATCCATTTATATTCGTGATCATATCCGATCCGATTCTCAAATATCTGATACATATCCGTTTCCGATAAGTGCGGATATGGTTAATGTTTTTTCTAACCAAGTAAAATACATATCCGTATCCGTTTATAAAAAGCGGATATGTATATGGTAAGTACGATATTCGAGCCGTATCCGCTCCGATAACACCCATGGTAGAGAAGTTCAATGTGTGAGAATTGAGGGGCAAATTTGTAAATATCAAGATCTAAAAGACAATTATGCAAATATGAAACATGTAAGGGGTATATATACAACCCAAAAAAACCCTCTTCACGGCTTTCTGAGCTTTGCTGTCAGCGGTAAGCTCTTTCAATTCAATTAATCTTTGCCAGTTTCCGCCGTTGGGTGGAAACTGTAGGGGTGTTATCGGAGCGGATATGGTTCAGATATGACACTTACCATATCCATATCTACTTTTTATAAACGGATACGAATACGGATCACCTTCGATAAGAAAAAACCTTAATCATATCTGCACTTATCAGAAACAGATACGGTTCAGATATTTAAGAATCGGATCGGATATGATCACGGATATTCTACATAAATCTATTAGACATATAATCTTCATAAACCATCAGTTGAAAACTAAATTGAGCACAAATCTATTAGACATATAATCTTCATCCAAAATCTTCAGTAGCACAACCTACCTGCAGATATCCTTTGCATCAAAAAACAGAAATTGAAAAATCAGATCTTGATCAAAAGATTCAAGGGACTTAGTAGTTAGTATGAAAAATATGTGTCCTTAGCTTCCACGTAAAGAGTGATTATACAAAGTTGGAACTAGAATCCCACGATGCTTTTCACAAACTAATATCAGCAAGCTGATATTAGTCTTTAAAATTAACATGGGGAAAACCAATCCAAACAATTAAGACCCTCGTGAATGTGGAAAACGAGATGGTATCAAAGAAACTCTCTGAAACCTTGGTATTACTGTTGCATGGTTATGACTCAAAATGCTTCCACAAAATAGGGAGGCGATTTTAAGGACCATGCTTGAGTACTAGAATACAAATTTGCAAGCAGAAGAAATTCATTTTTGAGAAAACAATGGCAGATATGTGATTCAATGTAAGCTGGCCAACAACCCAAACCAAAGAAATTTTTACAAATCAGAATAGCACACAATGGTAATTTGGTAAGATAAATATGCTCTTAATTGAGAAGAGATTCAGGAGTCAGGCTGATATTAAACTAACAACAATAATGTTGCACTAGTAAAATTAATCTTGGATCTACAACAATTTCTTAGGCACGCTTTTCAGCTAAAAGACTATAGTTTCCGAAACTAAATCCACATGCTATCCATTCGTTAAACAAGTCCCAAATAATAAAACTTATCAAAAAAAATTCACAAATAATTCAACAGATAAAAAGAACTTGAACTTACTTTCTGCAGATCATCTTATCCTAGTTGTACTTCCTAGCTAGAGCCATAAGAGAGGGCTCAATAATCGACGACGCCTAGACGAAGACGACGACGGCTGAAAGTAAGTTACTATGATAAGGATGATGACAAATTTTGATCCGTTGTACATAAATTTCTTACGTGAGATTAGATGACATCATACACTATGATAATCATTTACTGGATATGTATTTATTTATAGGGTGTTTGTGGAAAAATTGCAATGAAGAGAATAAAAGAAAATTGACTTGTATTTCTTTGATTCCGATTACAATCTGATTACAAAAGAGAAGAGAACGAATTTGGTTCTCTCCTTTGTTTAAAACTGGGTTCTTCAAGGTAGCGATGGAGTGCCTCCCTCGAATGCTCGCGTCGAGTTTGCTCTCCGTTAACGATCCGAATATCTTGATTCACTGGAACAATATCTTCTCCTCACGATTTGACGTTGTGGAGAACTTGCGTGGCAAGTTTTAAACTCTGGACGAGTTGATAACTCTGGACGAGTTGGAAACTCTTGAAAAAGAGTTGATTTGAACCGAGGATCGGTTCTCAAGCCAAGGCCGAAGGCTTCAAGGAATGCTCCAAAGGATGAATGCTGATCTCTCAATCTATGATGCTCCAAGATCTCCCCCTTTGCTGCCAAGTCCCAGATCCAAAAAGCCAGCCTGAACTCAATCGAGTTTACCCATATTTATAGGGAATTAAGGGGTGTAACCGCCCCCTTAATCCGCTCCTAAGTGGGGCGGAAATCCCTCAAATCGTGGAGGAAAAACGGTTCCTGCAACCGTTCAGCTCGTGTTTGAACGAGTCAAACGCACACGTCGGACCCTAACTCCGCGTTTTAGAATGAAGACGCGGAGTTGGGTACTCGCTGGGTGCTGAAAAACGTGGGTCCGACCCCAGCGTTTTAATGTTGTAACGCGGGTCCGACTCCAGCGTTTTAATGTTGTAACGCGGGTCCGACTCCAACGTTTTGATGTTATAACGTGGGTTCGACCCTCGCGTTTTGATGTTATGACGTGGGTCCGACTCCAGCGTTTTACTGTTGACACACGAGGAGGACCTCCGCGTTTTGGTGTTGATACACGGGGAGGACCTCCGCGTTTTGGTCTTAGAGCACGGTGATGAGTTTCGTGTCTTGCTTTGGAGAGATTATCAACAAGTAATCTCTTTTGTCATAGCGTTGCAAAGATCATTGTCTTGTAATCTTCGTCTTGGCTCCTTAAGAATATGAGTCGTCAGATTGTAACTCCCGATGTTGATTGTGAATGCTGTTGAACTAGAGCTCTCATCGGTTGTCGTGAAGGTCGTCAGATTGTAACCTTCAGCGATCTACGTGAAAGTCTTCAAATTGTAACCTTCACGCTAACCATAGTCTAATGTAATACGTGGTCCCCTCCACAAGCCATTCTAATTAAGGAACAAATTTCAAAACAAACCATTTTTTAAACTTATTTTCAGAAAACAATATGTTTCAACTTTAATTACCAAAACCGAAATAGTTTCAGTCTCAGGGCTGAAACTGGGTCGGTTACTCCCGTGAAGTTTTTTACATAACAAAACTTCACGAGAGTTTAACTCAGGTGAAGTTTGAAATTTTTTTCGTCAAACCAACCCAATTTCAGAGGCTGAAAGTGGATCGGTTTTGGTTATTAAAGCAGAAACAGATTGATTTTGGGGAATATTTTTGCAAAAGGGTTGGTTTTAGAAATTTGTCGCTCTAATTAATTAAAAAAAGGCTTAGAAATCTCTCTCATATCGCGCTGTCGATCCTCACCCCCTCCTCCCGGCCTAAGCACCCCCTTTCTCGTTGTCGGTAAATAAAGCAAAAAGCCCACCTTTTCCTCTCTTTTTTAGGCCTTGAAATCGAATTTGGTGTGGTCGTTTGTGCGTCTTCACCATCGATCCGTGGAAATACTAAAGATTCCTGCAAGCTGTTGGTGTGATTAGGCATCTTTGAAGTGAAGGTACGTGAAACTCAAAATTGGAGCTTGCATATGAGTTTTGTTGTTGAGTAACCCATCTAGGATTTTGAAGATTGAAAATTAACCTAGGACTAACCCGTGAACGTAAGGGGCTAGGAAAAATTAGGGCTTTTATATTTTAAAGTAGAAATTGTCTAAATTGCATATGTTTCTCTTAATTGCACAAGTTGTATGGTCTAATTAATTGTTTAATTGATAAATGTTTGATTTTTTTTGCATGTAATGTAACATATAAACTTGTATATTTTCAGCTGTGGTTCGAAATATATTGAAATATAATAATGTGGCTGAATTTTGGAATAAGATCCCTAAAATAAAATTGAAAAAAGGAGCTAGGCAAATTATTATAGATCAAGATATTATTGACACGATTTCCTGTCTTGGGCCAAGTAAGAGGATTTCAGTATATGTGGTTCAATTGATGAATATATTGGTGACTTAATTGTACATATTACTGATGGTGCTTAGAAACCCACAATCATAGACATTGATGGTTGTGAACCCAATCCATCTCAATCCGCAAATCCCCATCTCGCATGTAAACAGTCTAAAAAATAACCACCACCATCACCAGGTCAATCTCAAAATCCCTACCCACCACTACCAGCACCTCCTCGACCACCACCACCACCACAAAGAAGCGAGCCTCATGACCCCCACCCCCCAACCATCACTGCCACCACCATCACCAACACCACCACCATCACCAACACCACCACCAAGAAGTCAGCCTCAAAATCTCCACCAACCACCACCACTGCCATCACCACCACCATCTTGTAGTGAAAATGAGAATGCAAGTGAAGATGAGATGTTTGATGTAGAAACTGAGGGTGAAATTAATGAAAAGATTGTCTTGACTTTGAATTTTCTGATAATGGTTATGATGATGTTCTTGTTGAAAATAAAATGTATGAGAATTATAATGCATCTATGAGAGATAAGAGTGCTACACACGGAACCACAACTTGAGAGAACTCTAAAGATTTACCTAGATATTCTAATGAGAGTGAGTGCAACACAAAAGAGTTAGAAAGCTTATATGAATATGATGAAGAGGATGTTCACGACCTGAGTTCAACATTGAGTTCAACATTGACACTGATTTTAACAAGCAAATTGAATTGGAAAAGGGGTTGAGACTTGTTAGCAACCAGGTGCTTAAGGAGTAGGGGTGTTATCGGAGCGGATATGGTTCAGATATGACACTTACCATATCCATATCCGCTTTTTATAAACGGATACGGATACGGATCACCTTCGGTAAGAAAAAACCTTAACCATATCCGCACTTATCGAAAATAGATACGGTTCAGATATTTGAGAATCGGATCGGATATGATCACAGATATAAACGGATATTCGACATAAATCTATTAGACATATAATCTTCATAAACCATCGGTTGAAAACTAAAATTGAGCACAAATCTATTAGACATATAATCTTCATCCAAAATCTTCAGTAGCACAACATGCTTGCAGATATCCTTTGCATCAAAAAACAGAAACTGAAGAATCAGATCTTGATCAAAAGATTCAAGGGACTTAGTAGTTAGTATGAAAAAAATATGTGTCCTTAGCTTCCAGGTAAAGAGTGATTATACAAAGTTGGAACTAGAATCTCACGATGCTTTTCACAAACTAATATCAGCAAGCTGATATTAATCTTGAAAATTAACATGGGGAAACCAATCCAAACAATTAAGACCCTCGTGAATGTGGAAAACGAGATGGTATCAAAGAAATACTCTCTGAAACCTTGGTATTACTGTTGCATGGTTATGACTCAAAACGCTTCCACAAAATAGGGAGGCGATCTTAAGGACCATCTTGAGTACTAAAATACAAATTTGCAAGCAGAAGAAATTCATTTTTGAGAAAACAATGGCAGATATGTGATTCAATGTAAGCTGGCCAACAACCCAAACCAAAGAAATTTTTACAAATCAGAATAACACACAAAGGTAATTTGGTAAGATAAATATGCTCTTAATTGAGAAGAGATTCAGGAGTCAGGCTGATATTAAACTAACAATAATGCTGCACTAGTAAAATTAATCTTGGATCTACAACAATTTCTTAGGCACGCTTTTCAGCTAAAAGACAATATAGTTTCCAAAACTAAATCCACATGCTATCCATTCGTTAAACAAGTCCCAAATAATAAAACTTATCAAAATTATTTTCACAAATAATTCAACAGAGATAAAAAGAACTTGAACTTACTTTCTGCAGATCATCTTATCCTAGTTGTACTTCCTAGCTAGAGCCATAAGAGGGCTCAATAATCGACGTCGCCTAGACGAAGACGACGACGGCTTAATGCTTGAATCAAAGGATCTGACGGCGGATCGAAGGATCTGACAGCGAATCGACGACGCTTGGACGAAGACGATGCCTGGACGCTTGGACGAAGACGAGGATCTGATGCTGGACAAGACGAGGATCTGACGCCTGGACGGAGACGACGCCTGGACAGAGGGCTGGAGGGAGGCTGGAAATTGATAGATCGTGGCTGGAGGCTGAAAATTGGGTGGAGTGGAGGCGGACATCACAAACCTAGGGTTTTAGTTGTAGTTGGGTTTTGGGATAGCGGTTAGTGGTTTGTAATTTGAACTTTGGGACCCAATCTTTATTACATCGCGGATATCCGTATCCGCAACCCTCATATCCGTATTAGAATCTGTATTCGGAAAAAAATCTGAAATCGGATCCGTATCCGAAACCGTATCCGTCCGGTTTTAAAATGCTGATAGATATCTAAATACAGCTCAAGGCAAACAGAAGATCATCCGAAGATCACAAGAAATGGCCTTATGCTGTCTCGAAAAGATCGAGACAGTGTGGACTGTCTCACACGCGATAGTGTCGGCTGTCTCGCACGCGAGACAGCTTTGAAGTGTTCAGAAACTGCTGAAATAACTGCAGGACACGTGGCCATCAATTGTTCAGAAACGTGGAAGACATTGTGGGCGAGAATCACGTTGATAACTACCAAAATAACGGAGTTTAGAACGTGGGAAGTCAATTACAGAAAAAAGAGCTGGGCAGTTCAGGCTTTCCGAGACAGTCATGGCTGTCTCGGAAGCTGAGACAGTCATAACTATCTCG